AATATATATATATATATCTGTTTCTTTATTGACATAAAACAATTTAGAATATAACACTCATTCACACAAAGTAACGCACACACTTTCGAAAAAGAAACAAATATCAAATAAATAATCGCGTGCTCACGAAAGATGAAAAAAAGTCAAGACTTAAAAAATGACAAGACTTTCTCACTTCGTCGGTTATATAATCTTTTGAGAAAGTAATGCCGATTGAATGGGCGCGTCTCTTCGTGAAATTAAATAATGCTTTACCACATGAAGCAGCTGCAGTTCCACATCGAGATTGGCCGATGCAGCGAAGCTGATAAGAAACACGACGAGAATCGCCAATTGCATCGGTAACATCTTCGCGAAAATGACTGCCTCCCCGAAGGCGTTTTCAACAAACACTTTCGATACTTAATTCGCGCGGCCTGAACGACAGCGCGTACGGAATCGACGATTTCACGGCACAATCTGCGGATGGTGTTTATATTTCTACTCTCGCCTCACTCGCCTTTGTAGTCGAGTGGGGATGGGATAAAAAACTGTCGAACAGCTCGCAATTCCGACTATTTTTATTAGCAACATCCCCGCTCTCAGTGATCATTCGATCCTTTTTCTTGATGTCGATTGTCGCCTTCCTCGAAGGACGCGTAAATAAAAAGCAGGAAACCCGCGGAAAACCGCAGCTGACGAACGCATAGGAAATTCTCTGCCATTTTTAGATAGAACGAACTAATGTCATTGTCGTGTGAAAATAAAGTAGAAAAGATTTATTATTTTCGAAGATTTTATTATCTTTGAAGATCTTTATCTCCAAAATTTTTCAGATTTTTTTACAAACGATAAAATACCGCAACTGGTGAAATTGGGTGGTATTTTCAATTTTAAGTAAAACAAGTAGAATTTTATCATTTAAATAAATATAACATCTAGTTTTTTTCTGGCAAAAATTTTAGCTTTAATTGATTTTTAATTAATTAATGCAAGATTTAAAAGTTATCAGTATAAAGCAATCTTTTTTCGAAACATCTTAAAAACTTTAACGGTATTGATATGTCAGTCAATGGTTGAAAGATAATAAATAAAAGAAAAATGAAAAATTATCGGGAAAACTGCGAGAGATTCTGTTATAAATATAAAATATTTTTCCGATGATTCTTTTATTGTACTCTTCAACGCCGGATAACAAACTCTTTTATTTTATCGAAGATACTTTACTTTGTGCAGCGCGTTTATCTTGCCTGCTTCTGATTTGCGTTCTCTGTTAATCGAAAAACAATTCCCTGCGTATCCACGAATGCACTGCAAATTTACAAGTCTCGCAAATGTCTAATCGTTCGAACAGGTTTATCTACATAACTAAATAACAAGTTTATGTAAATAACAAAACAAATCTGTGGAAATTATCATAAAGCAGTATACGTGTTACCTGTTTTTAGTCTTTTGGTTCGAGAAATCTTGTTTACAATTTTATTCCATCAGACTTTATTAATGCTGTAAATATTTTATTAAAAATTTGTGTGTGTGTGTGTGTGTGTGTGTGTATGTGTGTACTTAGCATCAGTGATTATTTGAACTTTATAATAAGTTTGATTTTCCAAATTATGCTTTTTTTATTTATTTAATTTTTTATTTCTATTTTTTGGAAAAAAAAGAAGGGTAATCTTTGTTTAAACATATTTTCATATTGTTTTCACGTAAAATATGTAAAGTTCTTATGTATTTTCTATTTTAATCAGATACGACTTATTGACTTATCAAATTGATTTTGGCACGGCGCACTAATTGAAATTCTGAACGAACCAATTCAAACACGTACCTATTGTATTGAAATTTCAAGGAAATCTACTTGATCCGACTTTGAAAATAACATATGGTATGCATGTGCGCACATGTGTTTTATGTTTATTTTTTTCGTTACACAATTCATTGCGCAACCGATTTAGAGAAAGTGATGTCGCAATCACATTCAGATTATCAGTCGTCATTACACATCTTAAAACATCTTTTGTAGGCTCTTTTAATCTGAAATTTTCCTATAATTATGTTTCCTTGATTGCATGAGTTAGGTTTTTTGTTCGCTTTCTTAGAATATCAACTGTCATCCGCGAACAGCTCATGAGAATTCAAGAACGTTTAATGATTCATGTGAATGATCGGAACGAGACAGCGACGTACAAAGACGTCGTCGACCTACACGGAGAAAATTTTATATAAACAATTACTATGTACGGCAGTAACCGCGGACCGAAAATTTTTACTATATTTCACATGTGAAAAACATAGTAAAAATTTTTATAATTCTTTCATGGTCCGCGGCTACTACCGTACATAGTAATTTTTGATATAAAATTTTCTCCGTGTACCGCGTCTTTTTGCATTTGCGGTGCATTCCGCGAAATCACCGCAAATCGGAATCACGCCCCTTTCTTGATCGCACGCAATGAATCTTCCTTTCGTAATTCAATTCATGGAAATCAGGGAAACTTGAGAGCCTTTCGGATAAGGATAATGTTCTCGTGCGTAATCGGAGATCCATTTATGACGCGGCACCTTGATTGAACGTGAATCCCTGATTAACGTTTGCATCTTAATTTGCGGAATATCGAAATGTTGGGGCGTTTCAGATACAGTTGTAACATGTTTACGTAACGTGCACGAAAAAAAACGAATCACGATCGCGTACTTATTTTGCGCATTAAATATTCGCGGCGGGACGCGTCTTAATTTGCGGAACGGCAAAATATCAGCATCACTGGAATAATAATCGTTGGATCATTACTGGAATTTTTTATTTAATACACATAAAAAAATATGAATTGCCATCGCGCACATATTTCGCACTGGAAAGACCACAGTTGATTAAATCAATCTTATTGTGAATTATGAATTCGAAGAACGCTAAAAAATCAAGTCTTATGCATTATTGAAAATATTATAACAGCTATTAGTTATAATTAACAATGATGTTAGTCGATAACGTTATAATTGCGCGATCGACCTGTGCGAGTTTTTGTTACGCCGAGCATGTATGATTTTATAATCGAGCTACCACGATAGGCTCGATGGTTTGATAGTGTTACGCAATTACGTATAATCGATAATTAGATCAACCGAGAAGGAGCAAACCGCTTACACAATTGCATCGTGTGTGTTTACAATCGGGTTCATTTTATCACAGACTCCGTATCTCGCGAGGAAAAAAAATTTCTCTCCTCAATCTTTACGCAAGACCTGAAGCCCCCGAAGGATTTTCCGGTATATCAAAGCGTTTTGAGCATATTTACCCATTACAGTTTTTGCTGCGAATATACAAGTCACGCATTCTGGAGGTCACGGTTGATGACTTCTACAACCTGATGAAATTTCACGCTATAATACGTCATATCTGAAAAATTTCACACATGGACAAGTTACAAAAGTCAATATAACGGTTTATTTTTACAATTCCCTCGCAATTGATAGGCTTACAATTGAATGTCAAGAATTTACTCGTACAAAGCAATAATTTATTATAAAATTATAAAATACAATACAGATGCACATACACACACAAAGTTTTTTATACGTGAGGTCAATGCTATTTTAACGCAAGATCAAGTAAATGAGATCAAATGTAATTATGTATCCGCATATTGAAATTGCATGAATAGAACAACTTTCGCGCGGCCTTCATATCTTGTTACAAACGCATATATAATTAAGTCACTGTAATTTATTTAACGCCTAACCTTTTTAGCGTTGGTTGCGTTTCTACCTTAATTATGCCGTTAAAACGTAATTGACTAATGACTTATTTTACACACCGATCACTCACGACTCACGAAAACAAATAAACAAATAATGAATTGGGTTATTTTAGTCAAAGACTAGTTTTTCTATCATTAGCTTGTTAAAACATTCAAATTATCATATATCTTATAGCACAGCTCATTGCGCTATTTGCTATTGCTAAGAAAAAAAGTCTTGTGCGAACAAGAATTATAATTTTAACTCATAAAATTAACAAAACCTTGTTCATATGCATATAATAGCATTACGTAAAAAGTGTAGCGCAACATTCATAATTATCAACTGAATTGATGTGTAAATTTTGTTATCGAAAAACTCTTCAATAATATTTCACGATTTTCTGGGACAATTTATATTTTACAATTATCTCGCGAATAGAATAAACGATATTTTAAATTGAATCCATGTTATATTAATAATAAATGTCATGGTTATTTGTTTGAGTGAAGGTGCTTTATTAAGTTTTCTTTATTAAAATTTTAATATCGAATAGCTATTGTTGCTTAATTTATTAATAATTATATTAAAATATTAATTAATACAAAATATAATTACAATATGTGTTTATCCATCAATTTATTTAGATTTTGAAGTTGGTAGATTGATCACTTAATCGCCATTTAATTAAATTATCAACGTTTAAAAATTTAAAAAAACACACACTTTACTTTCCATAATGAAACACGTTACTCGATTCTCGGCGTAAAAAAGGATCACTTTTATAGCGTTATAAAATGGAGAACAAATTGTGGGTGTGGCGTGAACAAAAGTCCACGTTTCTATGTTAATGTAGGCTAGATTAAAGAAAAAAAAAATAAACCGGTCATGATTGTGATTATTGTAATTAATTCGTGATAATCTCGTAACCACGATTAAATTTATGACACTTATATAAATACATTAATCTTCTGCACAATATGCAACATAATTCTAATCTCAGAGTCATGAGTTTTATTTTATAATAATTAATATAGAGAGAATGAAAACAACAAAAAACAACACAAAACAGGAAATCTATAATAGTAACAATAATAATAACACCAACGATAGTACATAATATGCAATGAGATTATCAACGAAACGTAGTATAATAGAAATCATTAAAAGAATTACGCAATAAGAAATGCAGGCAATTAGTTGTTGCTTAAGAATGCAATCAATTATTCGCCCATTTGAGATATTATCGGTTTCACGAACTTGCGATTAATTCTGTTTTGCTGATAAATGCTATTGTATTATAAATGCATTTTGATATTGCACATACGATCACAAATCTCGAGATACGTAATACACATAACGCATTATGAATTTTGTTCCTTTATTTACAAGCGATTAATATTACATATTTAATTTTAATCAGATTTATGAGTTTCATGAATAGGAAGACGTAGTTACATAATATTGCCGAATACGAGTCACCTCAATTGATTCGGTAAATATTTTAGGCGATGCAAACGTTATTTTACGTTGAAGTATTAAGAAGTCAGCAGTATCGTAAAAATCTTCCAACACATATATAAATTTTTTTTACCTAGTTTTGTTTAATATTTGTATTTTAATATTTGTATTTGTACATTGATATACTTATAATGTATATGTTATGGCGCGTTTAAAGATAGAAATTAATCTACCTAGAAAGTAATCCGCTAAGTCTGAGAAGACTGCATAGATTACAATATGTCACTTTGCATTATAATCTTACGCTGACACGCTAATGAGAAACAATATAAAAACAACGTAAGTTAATATGATCAAAAATCATTGATCATTCACCATACGTAGTACGCAAATAAAAATTTAGGCGTGGAAAAAGAATCTGGTAAAGAAAAAAATATTCATTTACAATCGCGAGAATTCTTTCTTTTTGTGTCAGATCATAAATGTTATTAAATTCTTGTGCATTAAAAAGTTTTGCACCTGGGCTTTATTACAGCAAGAGCACGTGACATAATGATAGATATCTGTTTTTGCTATAATAACGCATGTTCACGATATATCATCAATGTTCACGTTTTTTGCAAACACGCGGCAGCGATACCATCTCTTCCCGCTTCAATATTGATTACTCGATTGCGCGTTCGTTCCGCGGCTTCACACAGGTGATGACCTTGAATGATCGACGGGTGCGATGAAGTGAGTGGAAAGAGGAGGAAGCGAAATGAAAAAACAGGAATACCGGATACTCGTAGTCTTATTAATACACCATTCACGCATGACACAACATAGTTACATTTCCACAAGTGCAAAATGCAAATGCGCCCCGTCGGCGAAAAAAAGGGAGATATCGGCGATCGTGAATTTTAAGTAGCGCGTGTACAATTCGCGCGTGGTACAGAAAGACATTGAGGAAACTGGTAAAATCACGAAATTGCGCGGCTGCGACCGATACGTTTGTCTGTCGTTCAGCCAAATAAGGGTCTTAATTTCTTCATCTTCATGAATATTAATCACAGCACTGTAAGAAGCATGCGTAACACCTGCGCTTGTCGGGTCGCCAGGATGTATAATCGGTCATCTTGCGCGTCGCACACGTGTCATCACGCGACGCAGTCCGCAAATTCTTTTACGTCGACCGCCACGGTCGATAGATGAGACCTTGATATAAAAAAAGATTCTGCAAATATTAAAAATATAAAACATGGAAGAAATCATTTTTCTAAGTAATATCGATCAATGATGAAGTTTTACTAGAAGTTCTTCAAGATACACGAGATAACTGTTGCTCGAAGGATAATAAGATACTATTGTTACGATACGCAAACAATATCTATTTTCAAAAATAATTTTCTACGAATTTTAATCCGCCGTCATCGCTGACGCAAATGCAGGCGCGATGAGCGTAGGAGAGAGACACTCCTATTACATGTTAGGCATCAATAATGAATGGGCGAGGCTGCAGACGTCGCAAATCTGACGCGAGCTTCTTATCACGGGCAGGATCGCGATCATCATTGCGATCACACGCTCGCCGTACTATTTTCCAACACGCCGCTTCATAATCGTATGCAATTGCATACGAACGACATCGCGCACCTGCTGTCCCGTTCGTCTTCTCGGCGGAAGGACAAACTTGCGACACCGCGAAATCGCTCGTTTAAAAAACGAGGCGTTTGCTGGATGCACATGCGCCGGAAAGAGCGGGCGAAAAAGTGAATTTGCTCTCGATCGAGTCGCCACGACCGCGAGAATGCAGTTAGACCGCAACTGGGGATTCACTTGACGGGGAAAGGGAAATCCAATAGCGTCAGAATTGAATAACTTATCGACAGATGTCGTGGAGCGTGAAGGTACGTTCGGGAACAACTTCCTCCTACTCTCCAGGAACCACTGCGGATCAGCCTAAGATCGATAGGCTACATCGAGTCGCTCCGGCAGCCAGTGCACGGTTTTCGCGTTAAATCTCGACCTTCACCTCCATCCACGAGCTTACATCACTCTGCCATAAATGTACATCTATACATTTTTGGAGAGCTTAATGCCGCCTTTTTATCTATCCATTTATTTCTCCTTAAATATTTTGTATTTTATTCCCTTTTACTAGAAATTTATCCTTGCTACCTAAAATGCATCGCCACATCATGAATAACACATGACAGCATGGAGCAGTCTAAAAAGAATGCTTTTGCATGTATGATTTTTTATTATTCAAAGCTTTTTAAAAAGCTCATTCAAATTGACTTTGAATCGGTCGAAAAATTTATTGTTCGGAAAGCATCGAAAAAAGTAGTAAAGTTTAAATCAAGTAAAAATTTCACTAAAATCTACCACGGTACTGTATCGAGATAACCCCTCGAGTAAAATACAATTGAAGGATACCTGTAAAAAATTGAAGAGCGCAAATAGATCGTATTCAACAGCCCCAGCACCGTTTGCTTTGTTTCGTCGAAAGATCGAAGAGTTTGTCCAACGTTATTTGCCGATGGTGAATCTTCTTTCTTTATAAAAGTCCCGCGCCCCTCGAAAGCTGTCTGAAACCTAACCTAATGTTTGAATTGTCAAGGATCTATTTACTCGTTGTAAAACTTTGTTGTGTATCACGTCATAAAATCCATCAGCGCTAAGTCGTTTCGTACACAACGCGGTAAAAAATGCATGCATGTTAGCAACATATAAGTAGTTTTGGTCAGCTTTCCAGAAGTTTGGAAACGCTGCGCTCCCGACCGTAAATACGAGGGGAGGGCGAAGTACCAGCGAAATATATGGGTCACAGGAAGAGCCTGCAGCGAGTTACCTGACGCGCACACGGGCTCGCGCGATAACCCGGGACATAGTTGAGGCAGGACCTTGGACTGGTAACCCACATAGCGTGCGCACGCGGAAGCAAACGTAAATGTCCTTCGCGTACATCGATATAAACAGCCTCGAACTAAGCTTTATTTTACTGTCCGAAATTCAACGTTCTGCCCTTGCGAATATCTCCCTCTCTGAATTCACGCACGAGCATTCGATATCCGCACGCGATTCGCTGACATATCCAATAAGAAGAATTTCCTACATGTCGATATTGTTATTGAATCAGATTTGGATACGCAGAAAATATTGAAATGAGAGTGAAGCGGTTGTTGTTGAGAGAATCTCGTTGATAAGAATTACATCAGTAAAAAACTATGTGAGAAATATAGAAGAGAAAGGCCTGCTGGATTATAAACGCGGTTGTAGCTGCATGAATATTTCTAATAGTGGTATCACGAGAAAGAAGAGGGAAAAGTGTACAAGTAAGGATATTTCACCTTACAATTGCGCCATGTCGTCAATAATGCCGATAAAGTATTCCAATTACAATTACAATTGAAATTAGTTCTCTTCCATTTATTTCTAATTATTTATAATTACACATACAGCAGAAATATTATTTAATTACGTATCAAATTGTGTATTTTATTAATTTAATTTATATAATGCATACACATAAAATGTTGCATATACGTGCATACGTTATTATGTTATTCAAGTATATTGAAAGTAATTGTAAACGCTGTTTTTTTAGATAGCTTAATTTTTTATTTTTTACAAGCAGAATTGCGAGAGATATTCGTGTTAAAGGAGGTAATTGTATTTCATTTTTAATAAGAAAGTTAAGATAATATGCGAAAATATTTGGGATTTATACTAAACATCGTTTCTGACGTCTAAATTATTTTTATTTCTATTAAAGTCATAGTCCGCTTAGCGCGAATTAAACGCGGAAGGCCTTTTAAACGTTTAGAGACTGAAAGCGTTTGAGAAACTCCATTTCCGTGACGTTCATCAAATGCGGCACATCCGGCGAATTCTTGCCCGATAAGAATTCTCAGGGAGAGTTTTAATGGAGAGTGACCCGAGTTATGCAGAAGTAATTGCGAGCCAACGAACTAACAACGCGTAATCGAATGCAAATAAGGCGCAATTAAAAGAGTTACTATTCAAATAGAATTCTTAAATAAGAGAATTTGTATTGTGTAGGATTGCGCTGTAAAAAAAAAGACAGTAATTTGGCAATTTTAATAATGTATTTAATTTTTATTTTAATACTCGATCTATTCAAAGGAGACTTGTCGTGCATTTCAATGCGTCAGGGGAGAAATTTAAGACTAAAATACTTTAAACGATATTTTCGTTTTGCACAGGTGTCGTATATATGTGCCGATATTACGGTGGATTTATATTTTCGCAACATGTCTACCAATATTTCATCGTGTTTATGGATTTTCCGGAGACATTTATTCTTGTTATCCCTTTTGTGGAATCTTCGATCAAAACTTCTTTCTCCTCTTCGTTCCTGAAGAAAATAAAACAGTTCAATGACCGGAAGAATTTCTGCTCATATATAAATAACATACAAATACATTGTACGAATGTCAAGATACGCTTATTTCCATGCGCGTTATTAAAGTATTACGTGAGGGGAATCTTACTGATTTAGGATTACTAATACAGTGCCATTGTCAGGCGTAGAAAACGCGACACTTTGAACTTTCTTATTTTCGTTTTCCGTTGTCGTGCCGATTCTCACGCTGTTAGGTGGAATGTACCTGTTCGAGAAAAGCAGATTGATTAATATCGATATGAGTGTGTTGTCGAACGAGATGCAAAAGAATCATAGCGCACGAACTTTGAAAAGTGCCCAAGAGCGTAGAACATCGGCTGTTTGTAGAATTCATCGGCGGTGCTATTGACTATTATCGGTGAATCAACGAAATTACTTATGTAGGTGGGTCCACCGATCAGATCTAAAGCGAGATTCCAGTCGATCCATGTGGATGCCCAGTGCGACAAAGTCTGAATGATATTTTTCGCGTATAGTTCACCACGCGCCCATGAGCCAAGAATCACCTTTTCCTCTGTAAATTGCTATTTGTCATTCATCGAGTTTTACGTATGACAAACGCGTTGATCGTGACTTAACATTTGCATCATGAAATTTTAACCTTTGACGCTTTAATGTTGCATGGGCAAATGTATAAAACTTTCTTTTGTCTCGAGATTGTAAAATATAAATTTAGATTAAATAAAGAATCGAAAGAGAATTATCACAATGATTTTAAAAAGTCATCTATGACGTATTATAACAAAAATTTAAAAAGAATATAAAACACAATTTTTTGTCTTAAATTTGTTTTTGTCCAAATTGTCAGTTATCGCGAAAATCTTTCAGGATGCAAAAAATTTAGAATAACTATAAGAATAATCTTTAACAACCTGACGCATATCCAGCGCAAGCTTCTGTGTATATAAACGACTTCTCTGGAAAAAGTCGTTTTACTTCGTCTAAGTTGTGCGGGCCGATTACTTCATCGAAGTAATAATGAACAGCGATTCCAGAAACAATGTCTCGGGCTTTTTTGTTCTGAAATACTTTTTCCGGCCAGTCAGGAAGCGCCAGCCTATTTTCGTCCATTGAAAAAATCTTAATGTGCTCAAAACCGTTTTTCTTCAGGCTTGGACACAAGTAATCGACAATCCAATCGCTTTCCTCCTCGGGAGCCCATTTCATATTGTTTAAATGAAGTGATACCGGAAGATAGATGTAAGCTCTCGGCTCATTCTGAGGCGTTAGGCCCCAAAATTCCAATTTTTCATTGCGATAAGCCTGAAAATATCTAGAAAAATAACAGCAATGATTTTTAAACTTTAATAAAGTTTAATTGTTATTATAATTTTTAATAAGTTTAATTATAAATTCCTTCTACATTGTGGGTCATTAAAACGGGTCGTGCATTGTAATGATGTTCTGATTTGATTAACCATTATGAATGAAAAGTTAAATTAGATTTTATATCTCACTTTACGAAATAATCTGCCCATAATTGACGATATTCCGGACGTAGTTTACCAGCATGTGTCCAACTGTTATTTGTTTTCATCCAGAGAGGGGCGGACCACGGCGCAGTGATTAAGTTAATTTCACCTTTTAACTTTTGAGCTCGTTTCATTACCGGGATCTACCAGTTGATAATTGCAGCATAAAATGTGTATACAGCATTTAGTAAAATGTATGTAATATTATTTAGTTTAGCATTTAGCATTTTATATAGTGTACACAACTACTAGCTCTAATTAACTTAATTAACTTTATAAATATTTTGACTAGCCTCTTGGTTAGGTCAATCCTTTTACCTTTTTGCGCAAACTTTCTTATAAAAAAATAGATTACTCGTTTTATAAGATAAATGAATAATTAGGAAATTAATTAATAAATTAACCTTATAATTGTAATCCTCTGGTTGCAAATTGAAATCTTCGAGTAAGGTGTCATTTTCTCTCATCGCATAAGCATAAGGTCTCGTTGAAAAATCCGATCCGCCCATTGGCGTTCTGATTATACTATAATTGATTCCATGCGGGCCAAAGTAGCTTCTAAAATTTGAAAATAAAATATAAAATTTTTAATAAGAAATACTGCGAGTTTGACGTGCAAAGGTTAAAATAATGAAACTTTTTAGTATGCATTATACTTCAATAAGTTTTCAGACGCCTCATCTGTCAGATTAAGGATATTTATAGCGGCTGCATCAGTTACTGCTCCACCAAACCCGAAGATCTCTTGATACGTATCCATGTTGTTAACGATAATCTTAGTAGGCTTTGCATGATTTATATCTTTCTTTTGAGGTTTTGAATCTATTCCTACAATTTTGTGAACATTTCTAATAGTTGAAAGAAAAACGATTTTATCTCAAGTACGGAAAATTTGAATACTCACGGTCAGAGTCGACATTTTCAAACGCGCCGTTCGACACGTGAAATCGTAGACCGCTTTTGCTAGAAGTTATCAGAATATATTCGGCGGGATTGAGCGGCTCGATCGCGTCCGGCGCTTGATCACAATACGTTGCATTGCAAACACAGTAATGCCCGTCATCATCTCCGCTCGCCACGGATGGTCGCTTGATGCAGCCATCCGTTAGCGTAACTGTGTTCGTTAAAAAGTGTACTTGATTAATTACCTTATTATACTCGTTTATTATGCTGCATACGTCGTATTCTTTTTTGTCGTGTGTGAAGGACGTTATTATAGGAATCTTGCCTAACGTACAATTCTACGTTAAATTGGATGTTTCTATTCCAAAATTGGGTGGAACCGAAAATTCGTTTTGCATATTTTGTATTTTTAGTCGAAATATTTGGATGTATAAAAATATTTACACTTTTACGAGGAAAAATCTGTACAAGAGCACGAATATAAAAATAAATGTGAATTGCATTTATATATATTAACTGTATTTTCTGTAACGGGAGGAGTTAGTTATGTTTGCAACAAAATATATTTCTAAAAATTTATATAAAGCTAACATAAAAATCAAAAATACTGATTATGCAAAACTTGAGGACTATAATAGACAGAAAATTGCGATAAAGCTGTTTAAAAAGCTTACAATAGTGTCTGAATTACATTGATGATTAAATGAACAAGGTCTACCACTTACCTGTCACTGTAATAACGAGAACGAGAACGATCGTACGACACATTACTAAGAACTGAGGCAGAAATTGATCATGAGTTTTCATATACATAAATTCCTCCACACCCGATCATGAAAAAGACCAATCACGGAGAACTAGTTGGACCTGCACGGTAACGTACACAATCTTATAAAACACGCGAAAGTGAGGGGAGATTACATTACAAATTAAATAGGAATATTTTAAGAGAAGATTATGATATTAAGCACTATATTTGATCAAGATCTATCATCACAATACATTTTTTAACAATCGTAAAATAAATAATTATAGGTTACAGAAGCGTAATAATATTGGCATTTCTTGTCCTTCAATACCATGCTTACATAATGATTCAGAACCGATACGATCGCGTTAAAGGAGAATTGCATAAAGCCTCTGAGAATAAATTTACTAAAATACATACATAAAAGAAAACAGGATAACTTTTTTTATAAGACAACTCTTTTAACAATTTAATTTTTTTTATAAAACAATAATTTTTAAAATATTCTGCAAAAATCATGAAAATTTTCTTCTACAAGAAAATCTTTTAGTTATTTCTTAATTTGCCTCCTGAAATTTTTCTACGATAAGACATATGTTACGTGTCTCAAAATAATCAACACTGATATTAAACTAATATTTATTTATTCTATTTGATTTGATTAATAATACCAAAGCGCAATTTATATTTCTTTTTACATTTTTAATATTTATATTGTTTTAATATACTATGATAAAATTATTGCCCCTGTATTATGGATGCAAATAAAACTTTTATCTGTATCTTATTGCTACAACCAAGGTTTAAAACTGCGAACATAAAATAATACGTCAAGAAACAATAATGACATTAATTTTGCAGAATAACAATAATAACAGCAAAAAATGATAGATAAATACATTATAAGACCGTATGAGCTTAACTCTATTTAATTTTAAGTTGAAATTTTTAACAGTCTCGTAAGCTTGCAAATTCTGATACGATCAAAAAATAAAAGAATATTATAAAGAAGTGTTAAATTTGGATTAATCTCTTTCTTTATTTAAAAGCTTTTGTAAAATATCTCTTAATCGTGTTGCTTTTGTTTTGTCTGTTAAAAAAAGACAGCATTTACTTTTATTTACTGTAACTGGTAGAATCATTAGTCCGATAGGATATTTGTATCAAATTTTCAATCTAATGGGATCAACGGCACGCAAAGTAAAAAATAATTGAGTTTTATTCAATAACGAGGTATATTCAGCATGCAACTGAAATAGATGGGCAAAATCATATAAATACAGATCCAGAAACTGGTCTTTTCCAAGATAAAAATACTTTTAATTTACGAGAATGTTGTAAGAATACTCCATTAAATAAATTGCTGGAAATCATTTCCTTCTAATAATGCATGGCTCGTTTTAAGACAAAAAACGATGTTAAAATATTCTGAGAATATTAGGAATTTTGTCACATGAAGCAACAATAATTCACATTGATAATAAACTAAACTAAGCTTTTTTGGGTAATGTAGCGTGTCTAAGAAAAGGTTTATTAATAGAGACAGTGAGTTTCTCCGCAGTTTTATTAACTTTTTACTCATTTAATAAGTAAACATATATTGCTATGATAAACACTGTCCCAACTATCAAACGCATAAATAAAAATAAACTTAAATAATTGTCCATATTTACTTCGACGTACATTTTAGTCATTCCAATGCCAAATTGGGTAACAATTGCTTTTATCAGAAAAAAACTGATAAAGTACTTATCATATTCTATACTGGACACATCATTGCCAAACTCTATCATAAACAAAATATGTTTGTATCTTTGAAAGAAAGAGTTCCCGAATTCATGTTTTTATAACTCTCCGGCCTTAAGATGAATAAACTACTATTATGCTCGATTACGTTTCACAATTGTATTTGAATGAAAGATACACAAGAGGTAGAACTATTTTCTATCTTAATAAGAAGTGAAAATATCTGTGATTGAGCCTTTCAGACTTCGGCAAATTAACACAAGACCCATCAGGAGATCCTAAAGAAAACAATTTAATATAAAAGACAAATTTTCTTGCTAACTGAATAAATATTTTTGTGCGAGTTAAGATATGTTAAAGCATAATTCAATTTTCTTAATTAATCTTAATTTTTTTTTTATTTTGAAGTAAAGAGGTAGAAGTTTGTTTTCAATTATATCACTGTTGATAAGATTGCGAAATTTAATGATATCTTTGTAAACTGTTTCAGGGTTACGTCTTCTCAAGTGTTTACGACAGTGTGGACGACAACAAAAATAGTTGGCATAGTTTTTCAAGGACACCATGATCGATCATTTGCAGAATATCTGCGAGTCAGTTGCTACTGATAAGAAAACTTCAAGGTAAGCCGCATTATGTTTTATAGTTTATAACATAGCATAGCAAGAAGACATAGAATAGTACGAAAACGCAAAGTCGTACGTTCTACACGTGTGAAAGTGATTATTTCACACAGCTGCAAATTGGCATATAAAAAGATTTATAAGTTGTTCGTTATCTTGTTTAATTAGTCATGAAATGGATCGAAAAAGCATGAGACGCATACTTTTTGTATGTTGCTTCCTTTCACTTTTCTCATATATAATCGTGCTCTTCTCTCGTTTCCTCACGCTCCACTAAACATGTTCATAGTTATGCTACGAATGCATGCAGCTGGCTAGCTACCTACCTAGTCGAGCGCGTTGCAATGAGCGAACTGGATTCCATTAATTGGCGCGCGCGCGCGTATATTCGGCCTTGTTTCAAGATTAAATTGAGTTTCTTTTGTAAACGGGGAACGGGGTCGTGCGCGGTGGGGCATGTCTTTTTTCGTAAGGTAATCACTGGACCAAATATTTGTTTAGCTTCGGAGCGCGTCTATAAGAGTAACCGCGAGTTTTTCAGATTCAGTGAGATAAATGCTCCGAAGCGAGCGTCGCTCCGTTCATAAAAGACTTTTGTGAATAAGTAGTGCATATCACGAATATATGTATCGATTGTCCAGAGAAATTTTTAGATCAAAAGTATATCGACGAAAATATTTATTTATGAAATAGCTCTCTAAAAAGTTCATTTATTATTAGATAACCAAAAATATTCGTGCGATTTTTAAATATAATTTGTTATATTTAAAAACTGTATTAATAAAGTTACTAAATATAATATAATATTATCAAAAATTGCACGAATTTGTTTGATTATCTGAAACTTATAAAATAAACAAAATAGAAAGATACAAAACTATATATGGATTAAAATTAAGTTACAATTTTAACATTATTTATTGATACAGTAAAGTATGAAAAAGTGATTACAACTAAAATCATTCGAAAATGTAATTATAATACTTTCATTAGTGTAAAACAATATTTATTGTTCGTTTGTTTGTCCATTGCATCATTATATTCAAGATGATTAAAATTGATACCTCGTCGATTATGAAGATGAATTGAATTAAGCAATGCGCTTGACATGGTTGTTAAATCATGTGAGACTAGAAATGTGATTTGCATGAAAAATGTCGAAAGATATATAGTTTGCTTTACTGATGATTATGCATGATTGCGTATGACATTTGTCACTTTCATATCACATTATCTCTACACATAAAAAGAAGTTTGAAGTTCGAAGTTTAAAGTAAGATTTTTTAGCTTTATGACTATTTGACAAACACTTTAGTTCTTTCATAGCATTCATAATTATATGTTGTGAATTATTTGAACAATTCCACGTGTCGCGCATTATACATAACAGAACTATCGATTCATTTCTGTTTGTATGACTGAGTATATATTTTTGTTATCTGTTTAAATAAACCGAATTAATGCGCAACTCTCATTCGATGCTGCTATTATATCAAAATCAATTTGCCGCATTATACTATTAACTATTAATATTAATGTTAGCAGCATGGCATTTGATAATATCCGTTTATTGTTTATTGCGCGAATTAAAGAGAGCGATTAAATATGACGCTCGAAAATTTCACCTGTCATCGTGATCAAATTGCACAAGTATCTGGCGCATGATACACGGACACGACACGTATGACAGACAAGTTCCCACGTTATTCGCGTAAAAGTTCACGTCACGACTCGCGGAAGTTAATGAGGCGATGTCTCCGGAACTTGTCGCGATTGCTGCGAGCCTTTAGAGCGCGTGCAGTTTTCGAAATTGTTTTGTATCGGACACTGAATTTCATGCCGGAGGATGTACAAACTGGATGTTACACGGATACGAAGAGTATTAAATAGATTAAAAGTAGATCACAGCGCATACGCGAGAAAGTTACTCGCCTGTAATTTTGCAGTTGTAGCTTTGCAGTTGGACACATCGAATGTGAGTTGATTTTTCAAGTATCACGCGTTTCATGAACTTTGATATAAATTTCTCGTTTTGGCTGCTTATATATCTCCCAGCTATCATGAAGTAAATTATCTTTTACTTATATGATGACAAAGGGGTCGACGGATCAGATGCAAAACTTATGATAAGAGTGTATTAAAAGAATGCGTTTACAAATGTTTACAATTTACAAATGTTTGTAGCGTGTCGTCAGACCCATCTTAGGTGTAGCTTTAAATAACAAATTTGAAAAAATTATTTGAGAATAATCCATTTGGAATAAAATATAGTAAATAAAATTGCAAGTGCAATAAAACTAACTTACGTAACGTTGTATCTTCGCAAACACACGCATTTGAGTTGAAATTATTGTTCTCACTAATTATTATTTCGCCCCACTACTATTATTTCGCCCCCTTGATAGGCTTAAAAAAACGCTGATAATTATAGGCAAAGTTGTCCCTCAAATAGATTCAATACGTTATTCCAAAAGAGTCAAAAGATAAAAAAGCCAGAAGTCTGTCAAAGAAAAAGAATTGATACTTTTCCTCGCTTGCAAATATAAATTTATTTATTTTATTGCGCAAAACATAATTCTACAAAACATAATAGGATGAGGAGATGTCAGCATATCATGTAACGAGTTTTTTTTTCCTATTTCAAGTTGCATTCGCACTTCTCATCTCGGCGTAGGATCGACGACTCGTTAAAATTTTCCGCGATA